ACTAGGGAGAAGTTGCCGTAACTAATGAGCAAACTATGCGCGCCTCGATCATCGCCTGAATTTTCACGCGGACGTCTCAATTTTTACCCCGATAACGCAGTCAGCTCATCGTAAAATTAGCACTCATTAAGCCTCATTAAATTTTTCGAAATCACCGAGAATCAACTCCTGAAGACAAATCACTCGTATCAGATTTCAATTTCTCCATTCGCTGAAGCTAACGCTCGATGATGAAACCCAACAGGCATGTCAATTCCATAAAAATTTTCTTTCATCGACAATCACTAATACAATGTTGAAACTTCAATTGCAATTTTTTAATTGAATTTTTCACAACCCCAAATCGTGATAAGATTTATTTACACTTCTGTTCTGAAAGATCCGGCAATTTCTTTGAATCTTTAACGAATTCTCTATGAAAATTCAATAACGTAATTATGTAGATTGACTAGCTGATGAATTGATTGATAATTGCTTTCAACCGGTTGATTTACACCGGACTCGAACCACCGCCTGCAGCTAGTGAATCCTGAATTAATCCCCGCAGAATTCAATCAGAACATCATCTCCCGATTGTTTCAGTCCATTGTATTCAAATGGCCATCTCATTGAAACAAATCGATCTGCGTCAGTGGCTGAGTAAAAATGGCATATTGAACAGAGCTTTTGGTGCACCCGCTAACGACTCCCGACAATAGTAATCCGATAAGCTGTCTTCATTAAGCGAAATCCCGGTGCCACCATGCGTTATAAATCCAGGAAGACCACCAGAGACGTTCAGCAATTGGATCATGGATTGCTCCGGAGGATGGGGGGTTATGCAAGCGGAGGTAAAAGTAATAGCAAATGTATCCCTCTTGGCATGGATATATTCCCCCGGTGCACAATTCAGACTTGACGAGTGTGTAGGTGTAACTTATGGTAACAAGGGGGTACTCTGGGCCCCTTTCGGAAATGTTAGACTTCAAACTCAAGTCGTGAATTTAGATCATTCCATCTCTCAGATATATTCATGACGATGGAGATGTACCATTACTATTTATCCACTCTACCTTCCCCATTCGAATTCCTCCCGCAAACCCACTTGTTCCCCCAATAATAATTAACAATAATCATGAACAATTGATAAAATTTCCGAAATTATAATGAACGAAAAGATTATTCTCATGAAATAATTACGTAATGTTTGAGATATTTGATATATTGAATTGTCATAAGGACTAGCGGAATTCAGACAAATTTCCTGTTAATATATGAATGTGAGAAATTTCAAGAACAAGTTTCTCTGCTGGAAATGTCAGGACTAATTTTCTACTAGTCGCCAGAAAGTGCGAGTAAGTGCTCACAACCCATCAATCACTTGATAATTCAGACCAAATTCATTCGCTTCAACTACGCAGTTAACCAACGGCTTTCTATCCATAACTTGCCCCGTGGTTGACCCCGCGTTTTGACTCCCTCCTGTTCGCGTGTTAACGCGTAACGCGTTGAGAATCACCCAGGATGATTGATAAATCATCAATCCGCAATAATGCGCACCATAACGAGGAAATTCGTTGTTCTCATGTTCTAATCCCATGATTACGGCTGTTGTATTTCGAAATAATTGCCCCCTCCCTTACCCTCGAGGGGGGTCGTGCAGGCGAAATTGATTTCACTCATCACACGTGAGGCCCCATCAGCCTGAACCATCCGACCCCCCGACCCGAGTGATTGCATCAATCACTCTTTCCAATTAATTATTACCCCGTTTCGTCATTACGTCATCATGAATAATTCCTGATAATCGCATTCTCGCATATCTCGAGGCTGAAATAAAAATTGTATTGAGGAGGTAATCAATTAGTGTGATCTGAGGTGCGTGCGTGCGACTGTCTCCATGAATTTAAACTAAAGAAAATCAACATCTCTCATTGAAAGGCACCAACAAGTCGATTCAACTCTGTATGTACTTATTCAGCATGCGAAATGCGAGGCTAGAAAGTTTACTGTTTGTCTATCGATTCTTAAGAATGCAAGTGAAGATCCAGAGTTTGTGTATTTGATAGCATTCAATTGAAATTGCCTGGTGTCCGGTGAACTGTTGAGATAATTAGCCCAAAGGCCACGTGTAGTACTTTCTCCGTGACCAAGTGCACAGGTGGTTGCCATTTTTCTACGTAATATTTGACGACTAGTTTTCACCCCCAATTTTCACCCAACATTTGAGTTATTCACCTTCAACAATTCAGAATGATCATAAATATGATCATTGAGACAATATGACTAGTAGAACTTTATTTGATGCGTAACATTCAAACAAAACAATGAGAGTAGATCATGGCAGTCAATGTTATTGATTAAATTGAAGGTCAATTGGATCAGTACCTATAACAATTTGACCTCCAATTTTAACCCAAATGCGTCGCCATTGACCCCTACGATTTCTCACACTCAATCCCCTTTTTATGCCTCACCCTGAATTCGCCTCACGACATTTCACCAAAAATAATTATACCTTCACTTTGAGCTCGCTGATTAGTACTATTCTGCCAAAAAAAGTTACTTGCAGCTTGACCCTCACATTTTGCCTCACAATATTTCTGTTGAATTTAAGGTAAACTTAAATATCAATAAGGGGATATTAGGACAAATTATCAGATAATTCATCTATATTTTTGTAGTGAAAACCCTGATTTTTATGATTATTGAAAATGCAAGGGATTTTTCTGGTATAGTCGAATATCGTGACACAATGATTGTCGATTTCACGTGATTTGAAAATAATTTCAAACGATTTCCGGGAATAATTGATTTCATGCGATTTCAAGTGATTTCAGGAGGTTTTTCTCCCGATTTCATGATTTCGAATGATTTTAAGTGATTTCAGGAGGTTTTTCTACCGATTTCATGATTTAAAATGATTTAAAGTGATTTTAAGCGGTTTTTCTCCCGATGCCATGATTTCAATTGATCTCAAATTTTCGATTTCATCATTTGCGCAATAGCAACCAGGGAAGTGAACAAAATTAAGAACAAATGTTAGAATCGGTATAAACCTATACACAGAACTATACACCTTCAACAGCGACTTGGGAGATTCTCGAAAAATATCGATTGATTTCCAAGATGTTGGAATGCAACAGAGTCGCGTTTTGTTCTGCTTTTTTTCCACTGCAAAAACCTTTGCTTAGAATGGTCAAGAGAGAAGTTATTTCACATGAAATGACTTGAAATCGATAAAATCATACGACTCCACAGATTTTATGTGATTTCTCATAATTTCAGGACCGAATGACCCTTCGGGTATAGATGACCGTCATCGAATGTCAATCGGCGGACCACTGGTGCGTTTTTCCTTCGGATTCACATTGCGTCTGCGATCATACACGTGAAGAATCTGGATGATGTTGGGGGGCATCACAAATGATAAAAAAACAGGGGGAAGGGGAGAAAAGAGAGAATTGCGAGGAACTCTCGACCCTCCGCTCGACATCACGCTCGATCGAGAACGTGAGTCCGTCGTATCCGAGCCATCGCTCACGTTCATTGGGTTTTCTATATGTACGCGCCTCCGTTCCAGTGGTTTCTCATATTCTATCTTCTAAATTCCCTCTCTTTTATGGACACCAGCAAATGCCGAACGATTTTATTCTACGTGAATCTTGTTTGGAGAATTGTCTACGATACGGGTGTAAATTTGCCATCAGCTCATTTGCATACGGTTACTCCTCTTATCAGTGCTACCCAGCAATAACAATGACAAGAAAAAAAGGGTCGAGTTCATTTTGAAAAAATATATTTCCCTCTCGATTCCCTGTTGCCATTCTCAGTATCCCACGTATTTTCTCGTATAATTTTACAACCTACTATTTATTTCTAGTGCAATATCATCTAGAGTTAGGACATTCGATCTATTCCTTTTTTATATTTTCTAATCTCGAAATCGAGTCCGAATTCATGATCATAAAATGTTTGTAATAAACTTGCAACGTGGAGCGAATGGTTTTTTATTTCGAAAAATGTACGTTAATTGTTTCACCGAGAAATATGCACACCTGTGTATGTAAACTATGAATATTTCATTATCGGTAGCAAGAATTCCCTCGTCGATTCATTCAAGTGTTAAAAAACACTTTCCTTGACATTCTTTTTTTCTCGTCTTTTATTTGTAAAATAACTTTTAGTGATTTGTTCGAGTGTTGCCAAACGAGTTTGAGATTCCAATCCTACGGGATAATTTAGCAAATAGTTGAGGTGCGACTCGATCAGAATTCACGATCGGTATTCGGGTGCAAAATGCAAATCAAAGGCACGCGTGACTCTGTTTCGAAGATATTTGTTTTGTTTATTTTTTGGATTTTGTGGAACTAGATAATCACCGTTATAAGCTCCAACGTGGGTGTCTCCATCACCCGGTGGATATCGGTGGCTGCTATCTGGAGATTGTTTGGGCTTCTTGAGATACCCGGTGCGATCGTTAGGCTATGACTAATTATGGGGCCGGTTGTGGGTCAATAGTTAATTGCCAGGGGTAGACGGGACACGAATCCTCGGGTTCCCTCGCCACTTGTTTCGCTGTTCCTGAGGCCCTTATCCGAGGAATCTTTGGGCTGGTGCCACGGGGACAGGTTACGAGAAATTCAAGGGCCGAGCAGACTAATCGCTCATCAAATTTCAACATTACTCTGCGTTATTACAAACCCGGGCTTCAACTTTCAAGTGAGAGAATCCTGAAGTTTTCTCAACAACAACATCCCGTAGTCCTCTAATTAGACTATTCCAAAACGGCCGAATACAAAATGTTTTTTTTGTAATTTAATGGTAATGCCATTGTAAGACAGACGATAAACTAATTGAATCCAATTTGAATTCGCAGTATGGCGCTGTCCGTTGAGAAAAAGCTGTCAATCGTCAATAAGACAGACGCACGTAAGTGAAAATAAGACAAATCGCAACGTTTAAAGGGGAGCACAGCTGGAATAATAAAGCCTGGCAAAAAGGAAAATGGGTCCTCTTACCTGTGCATATTCGGCGCAGATATCGATGGAGGACACGTAGTTAACGACGTCCTCGATGGTCCAGCGGTTGACAGCTTGGCCGTCGCCGCAGGGCATGTGACCGCAGAGTGAGGGACATCTGACTGGTGGAGGTGTGCTCGGTCGAGGAGTTGCTTTTGGCTTGGGTGACACACTACCCGATCGTCGTGTTTCTGGTCTCGGTTTTTTGCGAGGGGCAAAGCCCCCCGGAGACGACAGATCCAGAGGACTCGTCACCCCTGCGTCTCTTTTATTCGCACCTGCATCACAAAGATCATTTTATTCATTCACTTCCCCTGGACTTCTCCAACTCCATATCAGTAATGATAACTAATTATAATTATCCAATACTCAATGTTTGAAAAATTTCTACTCTTCATATTAATTACATTTAATCACCATCCCTTAGTTATAGTCAGAAAGCTGGGGACTTAGCTCTAACGAAATCTCTATTTGGTTTTTTTTATTGCAAAAAATCTATATTTGTAATAACACAAACAATAAGTACATAATTCATGAATATTGTTACATCTAATTTCTATGGCGTGGTTGTAAAGGTTGAAGATGCCAATTTGTAGACTCGGGTTCGATCGCTAGTTGAATTTTGATAAACAGTCGTCTCTTCGCCGAGACTTCCTCTTGACAATGAAACCGAGGGATTAAAAATGTCCGACATTGGTATCGATGGGGATAGAACGACCTTTCACACTTGAGGTTTGCCCCTCAATCATACATAAAAAGTACAGTTCTAATCACGTTAAATTTACGTGAAATTCAGTAATCTCTACGCTCTCTAACGTACTTTTTATTTAAAACTGTAAGTTTCACTAGTTCGGAAAAAAATCCGTGACAGTACAATAAATTTCCCGCCGCAAATAATAAATTTTACTGATCGTCTCGTATTTTTTCCCAGGATTTTAGATAACAATGGCTTGATGACCATGATTATATTGATAATCATTATAATCACTTAATGATTATTATTTATTCTTATTTATTATGATTAATATTTACTTATTTACCTTTAAGATAAGTCTCAAGTTCAGCGGCGTTTTGTGCAGCATTAGCAGTCCTGACCATGTGCAGCAACGCCTGCGTCGAGGACATGTCCAGCATCGGTGGAAAAACAGGATTACCAAATAGTGTGTCCTGCTTAGGTTCTTTGTCCTTACCGGACAAGGGTGACGTGGTAGGTACAGTCGGTGGTTGTGGTGTTCCAAGTGGTGCCATCAGCCCGACAAAGGGTGTCGCAGCTGTCTTAAAAGCTGGAAACCTGGGATCGAGACCCGGTGGGTACCCGTTGCCCCTCGAGCTGAAGTAACTGGGGAAAAATAACGAGTGAGTTATCCCGTTGAAAACATGCCAACTCGATCATTGAATACACACTCGTTGGGATTTGCGTTGTTGTACTTAGCGGCAAGACTTCTCATGAAGTCACTGTAATTCCTTCCCATCATCTGCTCCATGTGCTTGAGATGATGGGGCGCCGGTGGGCCGTCGGGTCCACCAAGGGCAGCGGCATTTGGTGGTGTACCAGGATGACTCGACGATGACGGCGTCACGCTTCTCGATGACGTTGAGTTATTATCGGGCGTGAGTCGTTCCGTCTTTACCTGCCAGTGCAAAAGTCCTTGTGAATGTCATTCAAACCAAAAAAAATGTGATTCTGAGTGATTTTTTATTTTATTCAAATTGAGTGACTTAGTCTCCACCAATCTGCATAGATCGATTTAATTCAAGAATTTATTCAACTTGAGTCAGAAAAGTCCACTTCAATGACTTGATTCTAATCGAGGACTCATTCTACTTTGCTAGAATATCAAGTGATTGAAATGAATATAATTGCATTTTAATTAATTTAACTATCCCAACTATCCCATTTCCATCTCCACTTCATTCAAATCAGTTTTAGCTCGTATTGAACTCTACTTGAAATAAGACTTGACTCAGGACCTTTTTGGCTCTAGCCTCCGCCGTTTGTTTTTTTTTTAGAAAAGTCCGGATTTTAGGTGTTCATCAGCCAAGAGATTACTTTCAAGTTGTAAAAGCCTCACTTTAAAAAAGCATTAGCATGTAAAAAAAGCCTGAATTCACATTAATCCCATCCAGATTGCATCTGAGATATGGTAATGAAGGCAACGCGCGTGGCGTAAGGAGCTGACTCGGACACGTCGTGAAGCCCCAGCGTGACACTGAGAAAGGCAACAGCCACCGTCTCATCTCATTTTATTTAACTCTGTTTTAACAAAAGTCCGTCTGGTCTTTTTTTGGATGGCGCGCTTTATTCTCCCCCTCTTCATTCTCGCGGACGTTCGAGTGACGCCGAGCGGTAAATCTCTTTCTCGCCTCGGGAGAGAATTCTTCCTGACACGGCCCGGTTGGGGCTAGTCGACAACGCGAGAATACTTGAAACTGTTTTTACCCTCTTTTTGAAACGTTGTTTTGCATGCAACGTATCGGAAGCGACATGCTGAAGAGTCGTATCCGTATTATCCACATCTGCAGTGCCTTGATAATAACGTATGTACTCTATAAATCAGTCTCGCGTATGAAGACTAATTTACGGGTTCAGGGTCATTCGAGCTATCGTCGTGTAAACAACGGGTTGGAACGACACATTTGTCTAATCTTTAGTGGATATTTTCGGTACGATTCTTAGGAATTTTCATCATCAACTTATTCCAAATAACTCCGAACGGACATGGAAAATTGGTAAAAAATCTATTGCACGAAATTCTAGATTTTTTCTTGGAAATTGGGATTCCTATTCAATTTTGAGGGAAATTTTCGGTAATTCACATGCCGTGGTTTCAGGTTTGAATTCGTATACTTCAAGGCATCTCATCTTGCATGATCGGTGCTTGTGTAGATGTGCAAGACTTCTTATTCCTCCTCTCGTCTAGAGGTATGAATTTATAAATTTATAATAAATTTTTATTTATAATTTATAATATAATTAATAATCGCTTTAAATTCGAAACACTAGAAATGATTCAATCGAAATACCCGGGGTCCGGGGACGCGGCTGGTATGAACCCCACAAAGATTATGTTTAATCCGATTTTCGCCATCAACTAGTTGGGACCAACTCTTCTCTTGTCATGACTTCGCTTACTTTTGATGTTTGTTGGTGGCTAGTCAGGGTATCAATGAAATTTTAACAAATGTTGGTGTTGTTGGGTACTAGCGAATTGTGAACTTTTAGGATATATCCTTTAGTAAAAAACGCATGGTCTGAGAAGTGTCATGGCAGACAGCATGTAAAAAGTGTCATCAAAGATTATAGGAGAGATCAGCAGCGCTTATGGCGAAGGTTAAAGTACGATTTTCATAGGGGCGGTTAGGAAACTATATCAGAGGCGGTACCCGTGAATAAGACTATATTAGAGGCGGTACTCGTGAATAAGGAAATTTCCATCCTTAGGTACTGCAAATTCCACATTGGATAGTTGGTTGGTTGGTTGGTTGGTTGGTTGGTTGGTTGGTTGGTTGGTTGGTTGGTTGGTTGGTTGGTTGGTTGGTTGGTTGGTTGGTTGGTT